AATGTTTACACAGGCTCTCAAAGAAAAGTTTCCCAGTTTGTAAGCAGAAATTAAAGAGAAGAGTGATAATCCAAATATTTGAGGACTTATGTTGGATAAGTTAACTGACTTTGGGACCTAAACAGCAAGAAACAAATGTAGAGAATGCCTATGTGACAAAGGCCTCAGTGCAGTGGTAAGGATGTGGTAACCCTGCAAACTTTTCAGCTAGACAGAATGGCTCAGGGAAAAAAGTGTACGGCTTTTTTTTTTTTTTTTTGCACAGAAGCCCCACGGACTCAAGGTTTAAATCTAGAGAGGGTATAAATGTACAAAACCAAAGAAATACAACAGACTCGAGAATCAAGTCACAAAAAAGAAGTGAGTATGGATTCTGCCAGTGCTGCTGATTGGAATCGATTACGTAGAACTCCTACTACATTTTTGGGATTCATTCTGACAAAACAAAACAAAACCAAAACACAAACAACAACAAACCCATAAGCCCAGGTTTCAAGTCTGTTCAAAACTTAAACTTTGGGTCTCTAGTCTCCTAGAGGCTGAATGTGGATTAAGAAAGCTGCATGACTTCTAAGGAGAACAGATTCTCCACACATTCAGGTGTGGCAAAGAGGATGGAATAGAAGGATAATGGAAATGAAGGAATTTGGCTGAGGGTGAAGCCAGAGGCCGCAATGGAACAAGAAGGCTCCACCCAGTCCTAAACAAGGAACATCTGCCATGCCTAGATTAAGTTGCCTCAAAACAGCAGTGCTGTGGGATTTTGGAATCCCAGGAACTGCAACGTTTTCCATTCTACCCCTCTCCAATTATTCCTCTGTTGCATGTTAGGTGGGATATCAGGCAGCCAATTTGCCTTTTTAGCTCTTAGGTCTAATAAAAGAAGAGCTGCCTAATTAATTCCTAGAGACATCCCAAACTTCGAGTTTGCTGCAGTGACTAGGCGGCACTTTTGGATCATCTTCTGTGAAGCAGGCTTAGTTTCTTGGTGGGAAAGACATGCCATTTATTTAGTGGTCAGGAAGACATACTGAGTAGACCGCTAGGACTCACCCATATTTAGTTCTCCCCTCCTTCTGGGCACAAGTGGATTACACCTGTCTGTTGCCTTACAGTTGGGTGAGGCCACATGGACTAGTTCTGGCCAATGGACTGTGAATGAAAGTGCCATGTACCACTCACAGGCCATCACCCATATTTAGTTCTCCCCTCCTTCTGGGCACAAGTGGATTACACCTGTCTGTTGCCTTGCAGTTGGGTGAGGCCACATGGACTAGTTCTGGCCAATGGACTGTGAATGAAAGTGCCATGTATCACTCACAGGCCTGGCCACATGGACTAGTTCTGGCCAATGGACTGTGAATGAAAGTGCCATGTACCACTCACAGGCCATATCATTTGATTCCTCTGAGACCTTTCAATGTTCTCTTTCCCTGCTGAGCTCTTGTGGAAGAGGTCTTGGATTAAGAGGATGGAGCTAAAAGATTGAAGCAGTCAGTATATGAAGTAGCTGCATGAAGAACAGTTGCCCTCGAGTGTTGCCTGATCATGGCCACCTTATATCTATGAGGAACTCTTGTTCTGTTAGGCCACTGAGATTTTGGTGTTTTTTGATCACTTACTGCAGCATAAATCTATCGTGACTCACACAGCCCAGAGCAGTGGCAGAGTCAAGACTCTTTAGCCGGCATATTCCATGAGTTAGCAGGATTGTTGTGAGGATGGCCATCAGGTTAAGAGCCCTGGTCATGCTGAACCTGACAAACTCCTCCTGCTCCCCCTACAATCATCTCTATAGAGACCTAAATGCTGCTTCCTTAAGAATGCTGGATAAACTGCCACATTCAGCCTCTCTGACCACTGTCTAACTTCTACCATCCCCAATCTATTGCTGTCATTTAAAAAATTTTAAGCTACCTACATTGATCAGCCTACACTGCCAAACCCTCTTCTGGCTTTGGCCCTGGAAGAGACTGCCACTTGGGGTGAACTTGAACTTCTGAGAACACCGTGTGTTGGTTTTATCAGTCTGACTCACCTCTACATACTGTCTACATCCTGCCACTTTCAGTTATTGTTGGAAGAATTCAATCTGGACACCCAGGTGGAAATGTTAGAGGGAGAACTTCAACTTCATTCCTATCTTGAACATTTTAGAACCCAACTCATGTAGCTGAAAACCTAGTCTCTATGTTTATGGAAATCAAAGTCTACAAGATCTGGTCCTGTAGCTAGAGACATTTTTGAATAATTGTAAATAATCACAGGACAATGACACTCTAGGGCAAGTAACTCAAATGACCACATGGGCCAGCAGGGTGATGGAAATAAGTGATGCCAGCCAGTGGCATTTGCATGTCCCACATATTGTCTAAGGTAAACTAGCTGCTACTTAGCTTTAGTTGATTGTTCCCCTGTGAGAATACAGGGCAAGTGTGGCTAATCTCCTGGCACACAATGCCTAAAATCCTTAGAATCTCCAAAGCGGTGAGTCTCTCTGTATGCTAATGAGCTAATGGCTGGCAGCTCCTAGGTAACTTCAGGATGGGGGCTGGTCACAGGAAAGACCGAGGCAATCCCCCCACCAACCTCCAGGGACGGGGAGAGGGACTGGAGTTAATTTGATTGCGAATAGCCAACAATTTAGTCAATCATGCCTATGTAATGAAGCTTCCATAAAACCCAAGAGACCTGGGAAAAACTTCCGGATAACTAAACACATGGAGGTTCCTGGAGGGTGGCACTCTTGGGGAGAGCCTTCTACCTTACCCTATGTATCTCTTCATCTGTATCCTTTGTAATATCCTTTATAACAAACGAGTAAACTAAGTACATGTTTTCCTGAGTCCTGTGAGCTGCTCCAGCAAACTAACCAAACCCAAGGAAGGGGGTGTGGGAACTGATTTATAGCTGGTTGATTAGAAATTCCAGAGACCTGGACTTGACTGGAATCTTAAGTAGGCGGCAGCCTTGGGGACTGAGCCATCACCCTGTGCAATCTGATGCTATCTCCAGGTAGTGTTGGAATTGAATTGGAAGACACCGTGCTGGTGTCTGAATTGCTGGCTTGCTTGCCATTGGAGAAAAATTTGGTCACAGAAGTTGGTTTTCTGTGTTGTGAAAGCAGAGGAAAGACTGGTATGTTTCTCCCACTCACTCAGGTTCTTAAATCAAGATCCTCATGACTGTAATGCTAATGCTTTGAGGGTTTTTAAATGTTGGTAATATTTGTTCATGTCTTAGAGAGGTTAGCTCTGTGCTTCACTGGGCTTTTGCCAAGTGGTGGTTTTTCCAAATACAACAGGGAGAGAAGCCTAACTGGTATGAGGTCAGTGACAACCAACTTCTTGTTTAGGAATGACTACAGCAAGAGTGCTTGAGGGGCAAAGTATTTTTGGTGCCTAGTCTTCCTCAGGGAGGAATTTTTGTCTCAGGACACACACAACTTTTTTACTAGGTTCTGCATGACTAACCCAATACTCAAAGCATGAGGACTCAGCTGAGGATGCAAACAGGCTTAGCTGGTGACTATTTCCTTAGGAGAAAGTAAAGAGGCTGGCCTTCTTCTCCCCAACCCTTCTAATGCTGTTTGTCTTAACTCACCCTCCCGAGCCTGCCAATTTGATTATGTGTATCTGAGGAAATACGGGCCCTTCTTCCCACTTGACTTAGCTAAGGGAAAAAAGTCACCTTTCTGTCCCAATAGTAGTGATGTGTCTACAGTTACTTTTGTAATCTGATAATGTTCGGCTCCAGTTTTTCAAATGAAATCATTTCTAGTCTAAGTGCCTCTCAGTGGATATAACAAAATGATTAATATATAAGAATAGAAACTTTTTGGTACCTTGGCATATTTAACATTTTGAAAATTAGGGTGTTTCTCATCAACAAGTCCAGCCTTCTCTAGTAAAGGAAAAAGCAAAGTAAGATAACTGAGATGGACCAAAAACTGCCTACCAAAAATATACAAAATGTAGTCAACTGAGCATTTGGGGGCAGAAATGATGAAGCTTTCTCTGGCTGTTTGATCTTGCCCTCTTTGTTGCTGAGTTGAGGTCAGAGTTGGATAGGCAGATGTTGGGAGGGTCAACAGAAAGTCGCTGTGCACAGAGATCTTCCTGGATAGATGCCTCACACGGAAGGGGTTTCCCATTAAAGGTTTGTGGTCTTGAAGAGAAGATACCCCAGTTAGTCTGAGAAGCTTCTCTGCAAACAAGGACTGGTAAGACTGGCCGCTCCACGCTTACCAATCAGTAGAGCAGAGATGACTGGAGGGCCCCTTCTTTGGGCCTTTTTTCAAGGCTTTGGTTGTTCAGTCGTGTGTCTGAAAAGGTCAGCAACCTGTTTCAGGTGGAAATGGAATTGTGCCCACCAGATGGGAAAAAGATTATAACTGCCACCTGCCCTAAATGTGTAGCCAGCTTGCTTTAAAATGAGGGCACACGCTGCCAAAACATCTTGCTGAATATGACAGTACAGTCCTAATTTAGGGGTATTTATAGTAAAGGTCAAAGTGGTTCATTTTAATAGGGAAACAACTGAATCAGTTAAAATTTCAGATTAGCAATATTCAGTAACAGGCTCAACCAAGAACCAAAGACTCTTAAAGTAACCTTTATATTATCCAAAGCTCACTATACAAAGTGAGTTCTGAGACCAAGCGGCATTAGCATTTCTTGGGAGTTTGTCAGAAACAAATTCTCAGGTCCACCCCAGAATTTCTGAATCAAAACATACATTTTTCCAAGATCCCCAAGTGATATTTCTGCACATCCAAGCCTGGGAAACAGTGACATAATATACTGCCCTCAACTGAAGACTGGTGTCAGCAATCGTTCAGGGAAGGAAAGGAAGTACCGGGCCCCTTCTAGCTATATCTACTAGCTTCAAGGAAAGAAGAGTTCCAACTGGCTTCAAGGAAAGAAGAATCCCAATTTATCTACCAATCCTTCACTGCTGTTAAATCATGTGTTGTGCATAGAAATGGCATACAGGCGAGGAAAAAGATTACCCTTTATAGACCCTGGGTCTAAAATTCAGTTGGAGCTTCAGAGTAAAGAGTATCAAACGATTTTAATATAAAACTTAAGCCATTCACTTTTCTAAAAAACACAAACATGAGAATAAAATAAACACACCTGAGACTCACTAGCCCTTGCAGGATAGAAAGAAGCTCTGGACAGAGAGCCTGCAAATGTTTTTCCTTATACCTAATGTCTGAGCTTCCACACACATTCTAGGGTTTCATGTTTTGTCATCTATTACGAGGAAAGGAAATAGGTTAGAAGATTCATGTACAAGAAAGTCACAATGACATTAAAGTTATCTGATGCTAATGGCTGTACATTCTAGTTTCAACTCTGAGAAACAATATCAAATAGCTACTGTGAGTTAACCTTTACTGTCATTATTCTTTGGGACTGGTTATGTTCTTTCATTGTAGCTACTGCTTATTCCAGAGTACCACCCTAACATCCATGTGCAGTCTCCATGTTCAAGTATAAAAGCTTGTTTCAGGACAACCCCAGGTTGCTGTAGTGTTTCTTTAGATCTCTGTAGTGTCTACTGGGTATCACATCCTTGGACTGGCTGGTAAAATGGCAGTACAATGCAGGGGACACACACAGTCAACTTTCCCATTACTAAACTTGCTCCCTGTTCAATCCGGACACTGCCCCACAGTGAAAGTGAAAATCTTGAAATCAGTGATGGCCTCGACCTAATCTTCATTCTGTAGCTGTGCTCATATGTAACTGAATCCATTTCATCACCATTAATTAAATGGAGCTTTCAAAAGATGTCAGGTATATTCTAAAAAGAAAAGATAATCACATTAAAATGCTACTTTTTGATAAGAGACTATATTCATTTAATTTTGTGTTCCTAAAGGAATTTAAAATTAAACCAGAAAAAAAACTGAAAAAGAACATTTTACACTCCATAATGAACTCAACATCTTCTCCCAACAGAGGCACAAAAAGAATCCCTCTCTTAAGTGAAGGCCCCACATAAACCTGATGCTCTTGCAGTGTTCTCTCAATGAGGCTCGAAATGCCCCAGTCTATTCACCTCACTGACCTGATTTATTAAGAATAACAGACATCTTAAAGAATCTTAAAAAGAGAATGCCAATAGCAGAATGAGGGGATAAGGCACACTCCAATAGTCTCTAACGATGGCTAAGTATGAGTCCACTGTTTACTTGATCACTGCTCATATTTACTAACGTCTTCCAAAACCTGCAGAAAGCATTCTTCTGTGCATCTACAGCTGATTTTTAAAATTAAATTTAATCCCAAATTTAATAAAAAAGGGAGTGCTCATAACAGAAGACTCCCATGATAATTGACAGTGGTAAACAAACTCCTACTAAATACATGGAAATCCAGCAGAGCGCAAAGCAGATTCTGAATCCCATTTAGGACAACACTTTAGAATGCACTGCTTGATTTTATATTAAAATTGCAAACCAAAGTTAACTCATGTCTAAGGGGAGAGACTCATTTAAACAACTTTAGAAAAACAAGATTTTCATTTGAATTTCCCTTGTGCACACCAGTTATCCCAGTTGGTTTCCAATGAAGCATCTATTCACACTTTACATGTTTAGCTCTGATGGCACAGAAAATCACACAGTCACTGACACAGGAAAATGCTTCTAATTAGTTCTGAGTAAAAAATGACTCGTAACAGTAGGTGAAGTCCATCTGCAGTAAACACTTTTCTGAATAGATATGAAATATGATACCCGATATTATGGCTTACCCCTTTTCTATCCATTTTATATATCTATAAGCCAGAGATGAATGCTCCTGGACAAAAGATGGGATACTGGACCTTAGGAAGCATCCTGGGATGGAGCTGGAGGGTCTTGACTCTCAGGCTCTGGAGGGGGCGCTGGCACAGCTTCTTTTTTCTGGGCTGCCAGGAACTCGTGAATTGCTCGTTCTATCTGTGGCCTGAAGATGTGGTTTAGTTTTGGATCCACCACCTGGGAAATAATCCTGTCTACTCCAGCTTCCAACATCCCTGACCTTGTGGAGACAAACAGATCATTTTGTTATTTTGTTCCTTTGAGATTCATCTTTAGCCCCAACAAGTATCATGTGAGAGAGCCCAGTAAATATCCACCTGGTTAGAGCTACAGCCCTTCTAGGGAGTTCTTTCAAAGGACAATCCACTTACCACATAGAGTTCAAGCCATTACATATTCACTTTTGAAGGGCAATTCACAACTTGCAGCTACCTAGTATTCCTAATTCACAATCTCATCCACTACCACCTCAACCTTGTACAAAAGAACCAAACAAAACTAAGCAGACTGCCTTAAAGACTAAAAACAAGTGACAACATGGCAGGAAAGCACTTGATGACATGTATAGAGATGAAAATCTTAATTGTACTGTCAAAGCCAGCAAGCCTCAGATTTGACTCCATTTCCTTCAACGTTTATTCTCTTAATAGTCAAAGCAGAAGTAGCTTCTAGCAGCAACCTGGTTACTAAACCTCAAACCTTACACTAATCAGTCAGGGCTGGGAGTGTTTACATCACCAGCAATGCAACGTGGCCTTCAGCTGTGAATGGTACTGATAACACATCTCAGACAACTTGGAAGAAAACAAGCAAACCGAAAAGAAACAAATTGATTCTAAGCTCCTACAATACAGCCCCCAAATCCTCTTTTAAGTAGGGCAAAAATTAGTCAAAATTTACTATTGTCTGTATTCAAACACGTGGGGTAGGGTAATGAGCAAAATTATGGTGACAGGAAACAAATCACATCCGAACAGTCTGGAGAAGAACCCATACATATCCAAACTGAAATGTTCCTCTCAAAGGATTAAACTGTTCAAATATGATCACAAGCATGTGGGCAAGTTTTACTTATTTTCCTTCAGGCCATTCAAGCCCTTACTTGGGTGAAAATAGGTCCTGCAGTAACTGGGCAAATGGCCTGTTAGAGACAGCAAAGGAAACCAATGAGTGAATGTAGAGTGACAAAAGAGACAAGAAACAGGCCCTGAACTGGGGAAGCTGATTAATGTGGTAAGTGCTTCCCGGGTTCAACGGTAACTAAGAGCTTATGGACAGGAAGCCTCAGTGTAAACACACTGCCATTAGAACACTGAAAAGTACACTTTCAGGTAGACTATGCATTAGAGAGCATCTCTGCCCTTAATGACGAGCACTGAGAACCATGGCGAGGTCAGCATCAGGTTGTGGGTCAGCTATGAAGCAAAGCCAGTTTTCCTTAGCCACAAGCCAATACCTGTCCAACTTCAAACTGCTTCCTGAGTCAGATTCAGAGGTGTTTAATGGATATATGAGCCTAATGGTATGGACTGTTTGTCCCCCCAAAATTCATGTTGAAATCTAATCCCCAATGTGATGTTATTTGGAGTTGGAGGCCTTTGGGTGATTAGGTCATGAGGGTAGGGGCCCTCATTTATGGGATTAGTGGACTCCAAAAAACTAGCTAGCTCTCTTTGCACCATGTGAGAACTAGAAGTTGGCAGTTTGCAGCCTGGAAGAGGGCCCTCACCTCACTTCATCAAGTGGTCATGCTGGCACCATGGCCTCAGACTTCTAGCCTCCAGAACCATGAGAAGTAAATGTCTGTTGTTTATAAAGCCACCTAGCCTATGGCACTTTGTTTAAGAAGCCCCAGCTGACCAAGACACCAAGAAAACAAAGTAGCAAGAGTGTAGCTCACTTTTAAAAACATTTGAGGAAAACGTGGAATCTTGCCAGGAGCCTAAAATAGAAGATGAAATGAACAAATACCATGTAGTCAAAAATTAAATAGCCTTATTAGTCATAATTCTGTTCATCAGTAGAGCCCAGCTTCCTGTTAAGCCCCCTTTCCTGTAGAAATGGGTTACAGCATCTGGCTCTGAACAGCCAGGGCAGTGAAATGCTCTTCAGGGTCTCATCTGGCGAGGGTGCTCTAGGGGCAAGTACCAAGTGTTCACTTCAAAACTCCATTAGAGTTTGCCTCAAATTCAAAATGTTAGCAAGAATCACAGAGAAATATCCCAGCAGTATTAAAGCCAAATTCATGTTTTCAGGTTAAATACATTCTAAAACAAGTCAAAAAATAGGAAAAAAAATGTATACAGGTGGTAAAACTATAAAGAAAAGCAAGGAAATGATTACCATAAAGGCAGGAATATAGTAAACTTCTAAGAAGAGGAAGGTAATGCCTGGGGCCAAGGCGTTCTGGAGGGTACTGATAATGTTGTTTCTCAGCCTGTGTGGCGATTTCAGGGATGGTCTAATTTTTTATTATTCTGTACTTTTCTGTGTTACATTCCCTATTAAAGGAATGTAAAAAGAAGTGCCATGTGCACACCTAGAGAATGGCATCAATATGCACTATGGAAATCAAAAGCAGTGCTGACAGTCTTTATACTATTATGGCGGCTTTCCAAATATTTCAAAATATTCAGTGTTTTGATTTACTCTCTTAATATGCTAGGCTGATTCTTTAGAAGGTAGGGTAAACACAAGTTTATCTAACTGGTTACTTCAGCTGTAAAATAGGTTTTTTTCTGAGGATTAGCAGTAACATGTGTAAGGACCTGTGCAAGATATACAATAAATAGTTGCCCAATAAGAGGCAGCTACTGTCCTCTTCTTTCTGAAAGATCCCTGTGCCACCAGTCTGTTCTCTAGAAAGGAAAGGCATCGGGTATCTTTTGATAATCATACTTCTTCCCTAACACTCAAAGCTTGTACAAATTTTAGCTTTTTTTTGTTTAAAAAGATTCAGATTTCAGCAGCCATAAGCCATACTGAAAGTGCTAACTGGTTAGTAAAAATTCTCCTCTAGAAATTTTTTTAAACGTCTAATTTTGAAATAAAATAGACTCACAGGAAGTTGCAAAGAAATGTACAGGGAGGTCCACACCCTTCACCTAGCTACCCCTCATGTTAGCACCTTTTAACTACAGCACATTATCAAAACCAGCAAAACGACAGTGTTGCAATTCAGAAAGTCATGCTCCTTCCATACCTAACCCCTGGCAATCACTAATCTGTTCTGCATCTCTATAAGTTAGCTCATGGGTGTTATAAATGGAATCATGTACCATGTATCCTCTCAATATTGGCTTTTTTCAGTCAGCATAATTCCCTGATATTTCTATTTTTAAAGAGGCAGGCTTTACAAGCTTTTAGATATTCCAGGTGAGTTTAGTAGATCAAGGAGGCCTGAACATAAGCATTGGTATTAGTAGCAAAAAAAGACTGAATAGATTAGAAAAAGCTTAACCAGATTCCATGGCCCACCTCCACTTTTGTGTCCAGTGACCCTGAAAAGTCACTTGGATGAGCTGTCATAGTGCCTTTATTAGCTAAGGTTGAGTTTGTTATCATGAAGGACAATACTTGAATAAGACTTTATGTCTTCCTGAAAGCTGCCACTACACTTTACATGTGGCCATGGTGGAATTAAAGAATTTATATAACTCACATTCACTTGTGAGAATAAAGACCCAGCTCCTCTTGCCCAAGTTCCAAACACTGGTATCTTAGTGTAGAACTCCCATGTATGGTCACACTACACTGAAAACTTCGAAGAGCAGAAAATGTGTCTCACAATTTGGCATATCTTTTGAAGCACCCAGTAGAGAAGCACACACAGGAGGCTTACACAGGCTGAATAAACAGCAAGAATTCCATTTGACTGTTCTGCTTACTTTAACATTAATTTTAATAAAGTAGCAGACAGTTACAAATCCTCTGTGATATTTGACATAAAGGACTATCAACCCTGACTAAACAGTGACTTGGATCATCCTTCTTGTGCATCATACTTGTGATTACTGCCTTTTCAAAAGCTCTAAATTCTGCTTACTTACTGTACCACACTCTGCCTCAGACCATTTCGCAATTGGTTTTTGTTCATTGTAGGATTCCATTCCTGCTTGTCCAGATGTGTTGACACAAAATTATCCACTTTCTGCCTCAGGTTTTGGTAAGCTGGCTAAAATATTAAAAAGAGGAGGCAAAGTCAGGAGTTATATGCACCATTTGGAACTCAGTCATTCAGAACATTGCTTTTCTCAGAAACGTGTATTTTCAAGTCTAAATACACTTCCATCATGACTATGTAGATTTCCACGCAGCACAGCAGTCATGAATTAATGGCTAACATGAGCGCCCACTCCGTGGCGGGGGGGAGGGGGCACACTGCCAGGTGCTTTACTTTTATTATTCCATTTACTGTTCAAGTAACTCTATGTGGGAGTACCTATTAGCACTCTCCTTGCCCCCCATTTCAGAGATTAGACTATTAGGCTCAGAAAAAATAAACAACGTGCCCACATGGTTAAAATGTGGCAAAGCTGTTTGCCAATCAAAGAATATGGGTTCTAGCCCTGGCTCCATTGCTTACTGGTAATCTGACTTTCAATAAGTCGCCCGGCCCCTGAGTCTCAGCTATTTCCATCTATAAAACTGAAACATTACTGTCCCACTTGCCTCACAGAGGTGTTCTCAGCAACAAACAAGGGCTCAGTAAAACCCCTGCATAAAAGCAAAGGGCCATGCACACCTTGGCATGACTCAGGAATGTACACCGAAGTCAAAGCCTATGAACACTATGGAAGGCGTAGGGAAGCAACACATAAGTTCAAAAAAGAGCTTGAGAGCAACTTTGGTCTCAAATGTAACCAGGAGAACATAGAAAGTAATTCAGCGAACACAGGAATGGATGGATGTCTTGAGCCTCCAAGGCTTTCTGGCGCTGTCAGGTGCTCTTCTCCAAACCAGGTGTGGTAGTGTGGACTGCCTCAGCACTTCACTCCCCCCACCCACCATGACAGAGAACACTTCTTCACCCAGGTGACACTGAATGCAGTAATGTGATTTGCTCTGGCTGGTGGAGTGTTAGTGACAAGAGGCTTAAATGTGGTTGTGCTACCTAGCTTGGCTCTTGTGCTCCAGTGACCATCTGAGGACATGTCAGGGGTAGGTAGCCCCTACCCCTGCGGCCTGGGGCATAAGATGGGCACATGTGCAGCAGGCCTAACCCCAACCCCCAGCCCAGACCCAAGGACAACCTGTAGCCCACAGCCAAGCCTCCCAGCTGAAGCCCATCTAGATCAGCTGAACTTTGGTTGACTTGCAGTATTATCAGCATGAGAACAAATGCTTGGCATAAGCCACTGAGATTTGGTTTTGTTAAGCAGCATTATTGTGCCAAAGTTTCCTAACACTCAGAGCAATAAAATTGACAAAGGAACCAGTATGCCTTAATTCCCTGAGTGGACTCTTCCAAAAGGCCAAGAGAGCAGACTTTCAGACACTCTCCACTAAACCTGGGAAGAGGAAGGAGGGGAGATGAGTGAGGAGCAAAATTCACAGATACGCACTATCGGCCTAGCAACTCCTCCTTCTTGGTAACTGTCCTCCCCTCCTCATAAGGGTAGGGCAGTAGGTGCCATGTTCTCCTGCCACAGGGGTGAGTGCCTGATCCACTCCAAGACAATGCAGACATTCCCTGGGATTTTCTGAACTGGAGCTAAGAGTCTCTTTCTAGAGGAAGAAGCTGTAACATGTAATCAAGAGACGCTAGTAATCAAATGGATGACTCCACTCTGCAGTGACAGATGAAAGACACAGCACCAGTGGAGAATCCCTGGTTCCAAATGCATCCCTACCCTTCTGGCACAGTTTGTTCATTCAATCCTTTCTTGGATTTCATGAGATGACAGACTGTCCCCTTTGCTTAAAGAAGTTAAAATTAGATTTATCACTTGAAACCATGAATCTTGATAATATACCTTCTACTACTCAAAAGAACTCACCTTGTCTGAGATGATAGAAACTGTTTAGTGAAAAAGGAAGGACAGTGAATGTCACCACCAAACCTTAATGGTCACCACCAAATCTTAACTGACCTAGATAATACAGAACAATCCCTTCAGTTCATGAAGGAAGGACAGTGAATGTCACCACCAAACCTTAATGGTCACCACCAAATCTTAACTGACCTAGACAATACAGAACAATCCCTTCAGTTCATGAAGTAAAAGGACCTAATGTGCCTGCCATTAACATTTTACTGTACAGTCATCCCTTTGTATCCTTGGAGGATTGGTTCCAGGACCCCCATGGATATCAAAATCTGTGGATGCTCAAGTCTCTAATATAAAACAGTATAGTATTTGCATGTAACCTACACACATCCTCCTGTATACTTTAAATCATCTCTAGACTACTTATACCTAATACAATGTAAGTGTTATGTACAAGTTGTTATACCGTATCATTTTTACCTGTATTTTTTTATTTTTTAAAAATATTTTCCATATTCAGTTAGTTGAATCCATGAATGCATAACCTTTAGATACAGAGGCTGACTGTATTATCTCTCTCTCCCTCTAGTCACCTATCCGTTTATTCTATTTGTCTATATTTTGGATGCACTGAAAAGTAAATTACTGACATTATCAGTATGCATTCCCCTAAATACTTCAGCAGTCTGGGGCTGGGCCCAAGAATGTGCATTTTTAACAAGTTCCCAGGTAATGCTGATGCTGCTAGTCCAAGGACACTTTGAGAACCAGTAGGCTAAAGCAACAAAAATCTCATCTGTCTGAAAACACTATCTTCAAGAATTAAAAACAACCTGATAACTACCAGAAGGAATAGCAAAGAAGGCTTAGTGTGAAAAACTCCAGCCTGCTCTTCCCCAACAGCTTCTTGATACTCTCTGTGGCTGTTTTTAATCACATGCATAGATTGATTCAGCCACACAAAACCTTATGGAACATAAGAAATATGAGTGGGGAACTCGTGACAGAATTGAGAACACCAAGTCCTGAGAAAGCTGAAAATTCTGTCAAATGCTATCTGGGAGCCTTAAGTAAAGAATATTAAATAGATTGTTTCAGACACAGCACTTCTTGGGTTTTTCATCTTGGAGGAGTACAATGGTATACGAAAATTACTATATATATATATAGTAGTTGTTTAAATGTCTGGTTTAAATATGAGTTTTCTATCCTAATGTATAAGCTTTGAGAATAGGGTAGTGACTCACTTGTTCCTGTATCCACATAGCCCAGCACATTATAAGCCAATAAATGCTCAATGAATAGACTAGGTCTTTCTTATCTTTAAGGTCTACCTTCAAGCTCATAATCTTGCTGTGAGATAGGCAACAGATTTCCATGATAGGTTCTGAGAGGAGAAATCACCACCCTAGAGGAGCTGCCAGTAACAGAGCTTCCTGACCCTAAAACCACAGTCTCCTTAGAGAAGTTTTGGAAAGGGAGAAAACGAACATTCCAGCAACTACTGTATGTCTGACTCTGACACACACATTACATAATTGAATCCAGACCACCCTGGCAAGTAGGTGAAGTGAAATAGCATTTTACTAGGGGGATAGGCCTATGGCATTAGGATCTAAAATAGGCACCAAATTCCCTTTAATCAACAGTGAAGTACAAAATAAGGGTGCGGTTTCTACAACTTATTTTAATTCAACTGCGTACTAAAGTCTGTAAATCACCGAGCTAGAGAAAAGAAAGGAGTAAATAGCTATATTATGCTAATGACTGTGTAATTCAAACCATTCTGTGTTTAATGTCGGCTCCTTAGTGGTGAACAGAAAAGTGGTGGAAGTTCTAAAGCATTCTTGCTACGTACCTGGCTTTCTCCATTGCCCTTAACATGTTGAGGCTTGTTTGTTACTGAGGGGCTTAAAGGGGTTCCATCCTGGCAAAGACAGGGTCTAGGTTCTAAAATCCGTATCGAATCCCCACGTTCAGAGGAGCGACTGGGCTGGGAGTGGAACCCACGTGTGCATCACTCAGAAAGCTCTCTGTACTGCCCCAAGCGGTGTAAAACCTCATTTGCTGAGATTTCTGAACTATCTTTGGTTCGCTCTTGGCTTTGGGAAATCAAAGCTACAATCGTGGCGGCCTCACGCCCAGCCCGGATCCCCTCGACCCAGGCGGCCTCAGCTACCTTGGTGTCCACGTCGGCCAGGCAGTCCCGGCGGAAGCTGTCAAACAGGCCCCGGCTCTTGAGCTGCTCCACGATGAGAGCGATGAGCTGCGGGTCGCCGGGAGGCAACGAAGCCGGGTTGATGGGGCCGCCGCTCCCGCCCGCCCCGGTCGCACCCGTAGCTGAA